TTCCATTGAAAAGTGGGTGATTTTGAAAAAGCCCTTCTTGAGTAGCTTTTTCTGCGCAGCTCATCCTTTCTGCCCATTCTAAACACATTCCAACCATCGGAATCACTCCAGGACACCTCATTTTTCTAACCCTAACCCTACCCTGGTGCAGACCCCTAACCCTAATGGAGGGTGAAATTTCCATTGAAAAGTGGGTGATTTTGAAAAAGCCCTCCTTGAGTAGGTTTTTCTGCCCAGCTCATCCTTTCTGCCCATTCTAAACGCATTCCAACCATCGGAATCGCTCCAGGACCCCTCATTTTTCTAACCCTAACCCTAACCTGGTGCCCACCCCTAACCCTAATGGAGGGTGAAATTTCCATTGAAAAGAGGGTGATTTTGAAAAAGCCCTTCTTGAGTAGGTTTTTCTGCCCAGCTCATCATTTTTGCCCATTCTAAGCACATTCCAACCATCGGAATCGCTCCAGGACCCCTCGTTTTTCTAACCCTAACCCTACCCTGGTGCACACCCCTAACTCTAATATGGGGGTAAAGTTCCATTGAAAAGAGGGTGATTTTGAAAAAGCCCTCCTTGAGTAGGTTTTTCTGCGCAGCTCATCCTTTCTGCCCATTCTAAACACGTTCCAACCATCGGAATCGCTCCAGGGCCCCTCGTTTTTCTACCCCTGCCCTCCCCTGGTGCACAGGCTGACCCCAGTCCAGCTGGCCGAGGCCTCGTGCTCTCCAGCCAAGTGCCGCTCGTCTGCCCCTCGCCTCCCCCGAGGCCTCGTGCTCTCCAGCCAAGTGCCGCTCATCTGCCCCTCGCCTCCCCCCCGCCGCCCCTGCCGGACTCAAGGGTCCCTTTGTTCTGCACAGGGAACAAAGCTCTCCAGTGTCGCCATGGGGTGGGGAAGGGAAGGCGAGCAGAGCCCGCCTGAGGGGGCGAAAGGGCTCTGGAACGTCCCCCCCCCCCGGCAGAAGCATCTGAAGGCAGTGAACTCCTCCCCAGGAGCCCTGGGAGGGGTTTATGCTAGCGGCCCCCCCGCAGTCAGGGCAAAGAATCAGCGCCTGCCCCACCAGTCCTTTCACCCCACGCTTTCCAAAGGCTGGCTGCAGAGGCATAGAAGTCACTCGGGAGTCTCCGGCATGAACCCTTCCCATGCTCAGAGGCACTGTTTTTGAGGCTCCGGGAGGTCTTCAGCTGGCCTGCAGAGGCACTGGGGGGGGGGGGGCTCCCCGGGGGCGGCAGGGGGGGGCTCTCTATGGTGTGGGTGTGCAGAGGGGTCTCTCAAATTTCGGAGAGGCGAGCCGCCCCGGGCGGGGGCGGGGTGAGGCTGGTGCCGCGTTGCCGGGGACGGAGGGGGCTGGGTGCCGTGCCAGGAATAGCAGCCTGTGTGGGTGGCCCTTCTTTTGCGCAGAAAGCAGGGTGCGAAGACACAGTGACAACATTTTAATCGCCGAGTCAGATTGCGAAGGGGATGCTCAGAAACCGGCACTTGCCGGAGCCCCGGATCCTTCCCCACCACCCAAAACTACTTGCGGCGTGCCAGATCGTTCCCGTGATCTCTCATCTTTTAGCATGCAAGATGTGGTGTTTTTCAGTGGAAAAAAATGATGAAAAGACCCCCTCCCGGTGCCTCAGCGGGGCTTTGAGGGGTCGCCCCCCTCACCCCACCCCACTCCACACCCCCAACTTGGCCAGGGGGGCAAGAGAGGAATGCCCAGAGTGGCTTGCCATCTGAAAGGTCAAAAGCCCACAAGTTTCTAGATCTGTGGGTGCAGCTAGATAGCAGGAGGGGCACAGCCCAGTGCTTGGAACTGTGAAACAACAAGATAGGCCTCTGAGCATACACAGAGTATCCAGTGTGCCAGTGTGGCGCAGTGGTTAAGAGCATGGGACTGGGACTCAGGCGATCTGGGTTCGAGTCCCCGCTTGGCCATGGAGCCAACTGGGTGACTCTGGGCCAGTCACAGACTCTCAGCCCAACCTGCCTCACAGGGTTGTTGTTGTGGGGATAAGATGGAGGAGGAGATGTAAGCTGCCTTGAGCCCTTGGTAGGAAAAAGGCAGGATATAAATCGGAAAATAAATATCCCCCCCTTTCTTTCTTAGCAGCAAGAAAGCTTTTCACTCATCAGAATCATCCTTTTTTGGAGAAGAAGGCATGGATTGTAGGCAGGACTGAACCCCAGAACCAGTTTCTAGTTGTCGTGTTTGAAACCCAGACAATCTTGCGCGTGGCAGGAGGCGGTCGGCGTCCCCATGAAGCGTCCGCGGGGCAGACTTGTGCCTCGCAGGTTTCAGACAGAGCAGAAGCAGTCGGAGAATATTGTGCTAGCTGCTCTTCTCGCCAACGTTCCCACATCGGCTGCATCTGCACCCGGTCTTTCTTCCGTGCCCAAGTAGCGGGCTCTTCCCGGTGAAGGTCTTGGGGAGGCCGTGGGCGGCTCGGGCCCGGGTGGCGGGGTGGCCTGTGCCCCCGGAGGGTCTGTCGGCCCCGGGCGCCGGCCCAGCTCGCGCTCTCTCCCCGCAGACCCCGGCTGGGCCTCCATCAACCGCGGCGTGCTGGTCTGCGACGAGTGCTGCAGCGTCCACCGCAGCCTGGGCCGCCACATCTCCATCGTCAAGCACCTGCGGCACAGCCCCTGGTCCGCCACCCTGCTGCAGGTGAGCAGGGCGGCCTCTGGGGGGACTGGCCTGCTTCCTCCTCGCGGGCCGGGGCCGGGCTGCCGGCCTCCGCTGCTCCCGCGGTGGGCCACCCCTGCTCGCCCCGGCGAGCGGGGCTGCTCCCTGGGCGAGCGCGCAGAGGACTGCCGGACGTGGGTGTCGGGAGGAAGGGCTCAGCCCCGAAGGGTTGCAGGCTGTGCGGGCGGCAGCAGCAAGCCCCACGTCACCCCCAGCTTTCCGTCCTTGCCTTTCTCTCCCCGCTGCCCGGCTTAGATGGTCCACACCCTCGCGAGTAACGGCGCCAACTCCATATGGGAGCACTCGCTGCTCGATCCGGCGCAGGTCCAGAGCGGCAGGCGCAAGGCGAACCCCCAGGACAAAGTCCAGTGAGTAGCAGAGGCCGGTGGCTGGAGATCCGCCGTTCCGGAATTGGGTGTGAACGGTCCTCTTCCCGGGGGTGGGGGGCACTTTTTCTTCTCCGGCCGAGAAAACAGCCGCTTGGATCGACAAGCACAAAGCGGGGGATTCTCTCCCTAACTTCGGGCTCCTTCCAGAGATCTGGGACTACAGTTCCCAGCATTCGTAGCTGGACGGATGGGAGTGGAAGTCCAAAGCAGCAAGGCCAGGCCCTGCTTTTCTTGGGCCTGTTGCCCGCAGCAGCCGCACGGTGGAAGGGCTTGCACTCCGGACCCTTCGCTCCGGCCGGGATGCGCTGACCATCCCGCCAGCTCATTTCAACCTGCACCACAGCAAAGGGTCAGGATGCGGCCCAAGAGCTCCCCCCTCGCTCTTTGCGGGGAGGGGCTCCGGACAGCCCCCATTACGGCAAGTGTCCCGTTGGCAGTTTCCCGAAGGCTCCGACTTGCTCCCGGGAAGCGGAAGAGGGGAAAAAAGCCGCTGCTCCATTTCAGCTTTATCTGGGCTTCCCATGCACGAGTCGCTTCGTCATTTCTGACTGCTGTGGCAACAGCGACGCGCACGATTTTTCCGGTGCTTTGTCATGTTTAACATGAAATTAAGCTAGGCGCTGCAAAATGCTCACCTTGCAGGAGCTATCATACGAGGAGGCAGTGCCCTTGACCATGTGCAGAGTTCCTTGGGCTTGCTGTCCAGGAACGCGCCGAGCCTGCACCATCGCTGCAAGGCGGAGAAACGCCTCCCGTGGGGATACGTGTCCCTCGCCAGGGCTGTGGCGGCACCGGGACGCACCGGGCCGAAGTCCCACGGCAAATTCGCCGGCGGAGACACGGCTGCCGTGGGGTTTTGGGTGGTGCGGGCCCCTCCCCTCGCACGTCCGGACTCCGAGGAGCCCCTGCCCTCCAGGATTGGCCCCCCACCTGCCTCTCACTGGCTGCGTCTCCAATCGCATTGCATTGCAGCCCCACCAAGTCGGAGTTCATCCGTGCCAAGTACCAGATGCTGGCCTTCGTGCACAAACTGCCCTGCCGGGACGACGACGGCGTGACGGCCAAGGACCTCAGCAAGGTGCGCGCTGGAAGGGCGCAGCGGGGCGGGGTGCAGCCCCACGGCCGGCATCGGCCGGCTCGCGGGGGGCAGCTCAGCCCCACACCGCCGGTTCGGCACCCGCCCCCACGGCCAAAGGGAGGGAGCGGAGGCTCTGGCGTGATGGGGACCCCAGTAGGGATGGCGGCGGTGAGAGTGCGGCCAGGGCCGGGCCGCGTCTCCGGGGGGCAGAGGCTGGTGCGCGCGCCCCCACCCCGCGGCCTCCCAACTCTCCGCCCTCCTGTGCCCGCAGCAACTGCATTCGAGCGTCCGGACGGGGAACCTGGAAACCTGCCTGCGCCTCCTCTCCCTGGGGGCGCAGGCCAACTTCTTCCACCCGGTGAGAACCCCCCGCCCGGCTCCTCCGCCTCGCCGGCCCGCCCTGCCCCGATGCGGGGCCGGAAGGGCGCGGGGGCCAGGCCTGAGCTGCCTTTCCCGCTCGGCTAGGAGAAGGGCACCACGCCCCTGCACGTCGCCGCCAAGGCGGGACAGATCCTGCAGGCCGAGCTGCTGGTGGTGCACGGCGCGGATCCCGGGGCCCCCGACGTGAACGGACGGACCCCCATCGACTACGCCAGGTGAGGGCGGCCCCGGCCCGCGGCGTGCGAGCGGTGTCCGTCAAGTGCGCGTTCCAGGCTGAGGTGGAAACACAGAGCGAGTCGGAAGGGGTCTCCCGGGCCATCTAGTCTGACCCCCGGCTCCGCTCACGACATGCCCGCCATGTGCATGTCCAGCCCATCTTTGAAGGCTCGCGCCTGGATGTGTCTGGGGGGGGGGGTCCCCTCCGGGGGGCCCCCGGCTGAGGGCTGCTGGCTTTGCAGGCAAGCGTCGCAGCATGAACTGGCCGAGCGCCTGGTCGAGTGCCAGTACGAGCTGACGGACCGGCTGGCTTTCTACCTTTGCGGGAGGAAACCTGGTAAGCGAACGGGAGGGGGGTGCATGGGGGGGAGGGGGTCTTTCATGCCCCCCGGCTGGCTCGCGGGGCCTGGTGGCCCCTCGGTGGCCCCGTCCGGCACGGGAGCCCCCCCTCGCCAGGGGCTCTTGGCCGTCTGCGCCCACCTGGCCGCACCGGCTGTGTGGGGGGGCGTCTTTGCCGACGGCCAGGTGGCTTAACCGCTTCTGCCTTCCCACGCAGACCACAAAAACGGGCACTACATCATCCCGCAGATGGCGGACAGGTGAGGGGCGTCCCCCGAAATCCGGTCCGTTCGCGCCCTGGGGGTCCCGCCGGCTGCCCCCTTGTGGTTGCTGGAGGGATGGCAGGGGCCCCTATTCCAGTCCTAAGAAGAGTCCCATCCCCTAAGCCGAGGCTAAAAAACAGGGCTGTGGGAAGTCCTATAAGGAGAGCTTTTAAAATGTTGCTGCTCTTGGGATATAACTCATTGGGAGCAAAAAGATTTAAATGTCCCGGCTGCTGGCTGCTTTTTAAAAATCGCATTTATTTTGTTTTGGGAAGGGGGTTCACTTTTGTTTTGTGGGGGGTCGTTGCCCCGAAGGTAACCCCAAGTGGAGCATTGGGGTGGCCTTCGCAGCCGCAGGCGTCCCAAAGATTTTGATACCCTTCCTTTCTTTCTCAAGCCAAAATTTCTTCCTTCTCTTTCTCGTACGTTTCTGTATTTCGGCGTGGAGGTACCAGGTTAGCAATTCTGCACTGGCCGAATTTCCACAGTGTAAGCGAAGGAGCCGCTGTCTAAACTTTCGGCTGTTGGAGGTGCCTCCAGGCCGTGGCCCCTAAATTAACACCAAATGGGAAAATAGTATTTGAGGAGCAGAGAGGCCTTCGTCTCGGAGACGCTGTCTGTTTTTTCCCTCTTGAGTTGGGCTGCCAAAAGGAAGGATGGGGGGACAGGTTTGCACGGGGGTCCCGTGCCGGGGCCGAAAACGAATTCTTGCGCTCCGCGTGTGCTCAGAGAGCATCTGCTTCGCTTCGCCGTCCTTCTTGGCACGGGTCCTCCTCTGGCCTGATGCCCTGCCCCACTCTGCTTTGAGATAAGCCGGACTTACATTAGGAAGGTGTCCTCCAGACATGTTGGACTCCAACTCCCAGCATCCCCAGCTGGCATAGCGGGACGGGAAGAACCCAGTCGAGGAGGAAGACTGCTTTTGGGGCCACACGTGTTGAATGAGGGTGTGGAACCCATCGGACCGAGCCCGGGGGCCACTTTCGGGGGTGGGCGGGCCAGGGGCAAAGGGGCGGGGCCAAATGACCCACAGTCCAGCCCTGGCTAGCTTCAGGCCCCTATGAATAAGCCATGGAAGGGTCATTTCAGCCATTGGGGGAGCACTGGGGGCCTCTCGGGGTAGGGGGAGCCGGGCCTGCAGCCAAGAGGGGGCTGAGCGCCTGGGGGAAGAGAGCATTCCGGCCCCTCAACCCGGTGGATCGGGGGGCTTCGGAAGCACGGCCCCCCTGCAGCTGCTTCGGGGCCGGGCGGGCGAGGGGGGCTGTCTTTTAACACCCTTGTTTGTCCTTTTCCTTCCCTGCTACCCGCCCGGAGCTCAGAGTCCACCCAAAGTGCATGTTGCAGAGGTACCGGTGGGTTCAGCGCTCGGCTGCATGCCACGGCGGGGCCCGCCCTGGCCCCCTCCCCACGTCGCCCGCCCTCGCGCGCCCTGCCTGCAGAGCGGGCCGAACCAAGCGTCCTGGGACCGACTCGAAAACCCCCCGGCTTAGGAATGGTCACCCCCGGAATGCATCCACAGGCTTTGGACTTTTCTGCTCTTTTCGTACATTCCCCCCCTGCCTCTCTGCCCACCTCCGGGCGTCTCTCCCACCAGCGCTCTTCCTGCCCCACCTGTCGGTTGCTGAGCCCCACATAGCAGTGGGGTGCACGGCTCTTTTCGCTGGGACAGCCTGCAGCCAAGCAGGGAAAGCCCAGCCGAAGGGGGGGGGGGGCAGAATAGACAAGACTGATTCCATGCGGGCCCAGGATGATGGGTTTTCTCCTTGGCTTCCCGCAGCCTGGACCTCTCCGAGCTGGCGAAAGCTGCCAAGAAGAAATTGCAGGCGGTAAGTGGGGCCTTTGGGGGGCGGGGGGCGGCTCGGGTTTTCGTGCAGCTGCCTCTGCTTTGGCCTGCTGCGTCCCCCCCCCCCCCCAGTCCCGCAACCGGTTTTAACTGTGCGCTTTAAGCTGCTCATGACAGCCAAGACCTTCCTTCTCCTGGAACTCGCCTCCTTTTCGGACGGGGAGCCATTTTTCCCTCGATTTTGCCCCTCGCAACCTCTCCTCTCTCCTCCACCTTTAGGTGATCCAGTCCTGGAAAAGCCCGGCTGTAAAAAATGTGGCCTCCATGGGGCTGGAAGTGGAAGGGATGCAGAATTTGGGGGAGCTGGTGGGCTCCGTATCCCACGCAGCAGGGGTGTTCGGCCCAAGGGGAGCACTTGGGGGGGCCGTCCCGGTGGCTGGTGGGGCAAAAAGCCAGGGGCCGGGGCGGAAGAACCAAGAGAACGCCGGGGACCTCTGGAGCACAGGGGGGCTGTGACGGGGGGAGGAGGGGACCCCGGAGAGACAGACCCCAATTGGCCCGTGGCCTGCAGTGGGGCACCCCGAGGGCACCAAACCCCACGCGCTGACTCTCTCTCGCCCTCCAACAGCTCAGCAACCACCTCTTTGAGGAGCTGGCCATGGATGTTTACGACGAGGTGGACCGCCGTGAAAACGACGCAGGTGAGGATGGGGGGGCTTCTTATTGGGGGGCAGTTTGGGGTCCTTCTGGCACCCCGATGGCTTCAGCTTTCTGGTTTCTCTTCTGCACACCCCACGGTCTGGCTTCAGCATCGCGAAGAAAAATGTTTCCGCCAAAGGATGCGGGGCCGACAAGCCTTCCCGCGACACGGATTCTCCACCCGTGTCCCTTCTTGGCCTCTGGGTGGCACCGTGCCCCTTGGCACCTGTGGGGAGACCAGTGCAGGCCCCCCCAGTTGGGGTAAACTCCAGTTCGACTTGGGAATAACTCCCAGCACGCAGCATTTCTCTTCTGCGTGCGTTCCTCCATGGGTCCAGGGTTAACCTGCAGTTTTTCTCCTGCACCCAACACCTTTGGCTTATTATTATTATTATTATTATTATTATTATTATTATTATTATTAATAATATTATTTTATTATATTTTATTATATTTTATTATATTTTATTTATTTATTTATTTATTTATTTATTTAAACCATTTTTATGCCGCCCCATTCACAAAAAGCCTCAGGGCAGCTTACAACATTTGACTTTGTTACATGGATTTCCCTGCTTGCTCTGAGATATCCAGAAGGAAATGGTTCCTGCTTCTTGGGGTGTTTCCGGGACCCCGTTGGCAGGCTTAAAGCAAGACCCCGTGGTTTAGGTCCCAGCGTTCTGTTTTGTGCAGCGGCTTGCGCTGGCTGCCCTTCCCTACTGGCCTGAGGGAATTGCCCCTCCGGTAACTCCTGGCCGTGCGATCGGGTGATTTAAGGATGTGCAGTTTGCTGCTTTTTGGAACGCCTTCCCCACCGAATCCCGTAAAATACTGGCAGTTAGCACCGCATCCTCGCCCGGCCAAGGTTTGGCAGTCAAATCAAATCAAACTTGGGCCTTAAAATAATCCCAAGCAAGAACCAAGCCGGGGGCAGCAGGCAGAATCGAGCCCATGACTTCGATCCGGGCCCAGAGCGACTGGGGGTGGCTGACGCTGCTTCGCTGGCGATCCAAGAGGCACTGGGCTCCCCCTTTTCTTGCCCTGCCCAAACCAGTCCTGTGCTGGGCTCTGGAGAGGCCGCCACGACTCGGCCACTTACTTCCAAACCTGTCTGCACCCACTAGGGACTAGAAACTTATGAAGGCTTCCCAGCTTGTCGAATACTGTTCTCAAAGCTCAGCCTAGTTGGTGTGTTGAAATTCCCAAGGACTTTGAATCATAGAAAACATTGGTGGGGTGCAAGGAAGCCATTTTGACTGGGTTCTTGGGAACAATAGGAGGGCGGCTGGGCTTCAGGGTAACTTGTCTCGCTTATGCGAGCCACTCGGAGGTCTTTTGCTCTCCAGGAGAAGCTGCATTTTGGCCGCTGGTTGGTGCCAGCTGGGAGGCTGGGCACGACTGTCAGACCGGCCTTCAGCTTTGATTCCAACAAACTGCCAAATTTTGCAGGGCGTGCGTCTTTCCTGGTGTGGCACTAAATGAATGGGAGTCACTTCTCTCCCACTCGTGGGGAAACAGCTGCTATTTGGCTCTTTCTTTGCCTGCTTCTAAGCGGGCTCTTTTAGCGCCCTTCCATCCTGCCACTATCTGCTCAACAGACTCCAGCTCCCATCATCCCCAGCCATTGGCCACGAGGGCTGGGACTGATGGCAGCTGCACTGCTGTGAGCTTTGCTGTCGATACCGGGCACGTGGCGGCTGCTTTAATGCTATTTGTCGGGGCGTCCCGGAGCGCCCCCTCCTTGGCTCTCCAGAAAGGGTGCCAAGCCCACGCCGTGGGGTGCCCCACACCGGGCCCGCCTTGCAGGGTTTATGGAGAGGGCCGGCAAGACTCCTTCCGGCGGCTCGTGAGCTCTGCCTCGCGGCGTCCTCGTGGCGGGATTCGATGCGAGGCAGGGCGGGCGGCGGGGGTCCGATGCGAAACTTCCCAGCCCGTGGCCCAGTGACCTGCACAGATCCGGGTTCAAGCCCCTGCGCAGCCTCAGGGCTGTCGGGCGAGGATGGCGGGGCTCGGGCGGCCCACCTGGGTGGGCCTCAGGTGGCCCCCCGGCCCTCCCCGGAGCCATTTGCCCAGCCGCTCCGGAAAACCCCGGCCGGCAGCCCCGGCTCTGCCAGGGCGGCTCGGTTTGCCTGCTGGGCCGGTGCCCGGCCGGCCGGGCTGAGTCATGGGAAAGCGGCTCGCGAGCGGGGAGAGCGCGGGGACCGTGGGGCAGCGGAGGGGCTGGCAAGTGCTCGCGGCCCCCTCCCCTCTTCCCTGGGAAGGCGCAGTCCCTGCCGGACCCCCGAGCAGGCCTCCCGGCTGGCCCGCCCGCCCGCCCGCATCCGTGGCCTCCCGCCAGCTCCGCCGCGGCCCAGCCGGAACAAGCCCCCCGCCTGGGAGGGGAAGTCGTGCCGGTGCCCGGCCGAGCGGTGAGAAGAGCGGGTGCCCACGCGCGTGCGGGGAGCGAGGCCCGTGGAGACACGTCTGGGGAAGGGCGAGTCTTTCGGGGGCTTTGGGAGGGCGCCGAGGGGTCCCCCGGGGTCTGGGATCCCCACTCCTGCTTCGTTGTCTCCGGATTTCTCTGGCCACGTCCGCGAGGCGCCCGCCTCCAGCCGGAGCGAGGGCTTTCCTGCCCGTGCGATTTCTCTTCTCCCCGCGGATTCGGATTCCTCGGTAAAGGGCACCGTGTGAAGGCCGGCTTGGCTGCCTGCATGGAGTCCTTTTGGGGCGGGGGGCGGGGGGGCTGTGCAGCCGGACACTCGCCTCTTGTTCGGGAGAAAACGAAAGCGAGGAGGCCCTCGGGGGCGTTGTTGTTGTGCAGCAGTGATGAAACGGGCTTTTGTTCGCGCCCGGTTTGGAGAGGTCACGCTGGCTGGAGGCCGCGTGCTGTGCGGGTTACTCACGAGTAGCACCCCTCGGTGCCTGCGGCCAGGTTTCTGCTGCAGCTGCCCGGCTCTGCCCTGGCTCCTCACAACCGCCCTGCGAGGCGGTGCGGAGCGTGGGCAGCCGGAGCTGGAGCGAGCGGCTGAGCCAAAGCCCCGCCGAGGCGGAGGGCAAGGCCCGGATCACGGCCTGCTCCGGGGCCTGCCCTCGTCCGCTCCGCTGTGCAGCGGCGGACCCTGCGGGCGCGGACCGTCGCCGAGCCCCGATCTGGAAATCGTCCCGCTCGGGGCGTTGGTTGCGAGAGGAAAATTCTTCCGCAGAGGAAAGTTTCTGCCTGTTGGCGGTTTTCTCTTCCCTGCTGGTCTGTAAAGATTAAGGTTATGACAGAGACACGTTGTCCTTCTGCGCTTCCTGGACTACGGCTCCCATTGTCCCCGGTGTTCACACTGGCCGGGGCTGATGGGCATCCAAGGCTATTTTGCTGGCTTCGTCTGCGTCTTTGAGGCAGGAAGAGGAGCAGGGAATGCTTGGTTGACGTCTCTGGGGTTGCGGCTTGGGCAATCCCGGGTCGGGGTGGCCATTCTCCTGGGTGGCCCCCCCCTTAAGGACTGGGGGGGTTTGCTCTCGGGGGGCACAAAATGCCGTTTCCTGAGCCGTGTATTTCGGCCGCTCTTCGCTGGGGCCACCGGGAACCTCAGCCACCCGCTTCCCCGGCCGAGCTTCAGGGCAGGGGCTCTGTGCCCCTTTTACCAAGCCCCCCGAAAGATCCGGCTCAAAACGCTGTGTGACGAATCAGCGGTGCGCTTGCGCTGTGGCTGCCCCGTCCGGGGATGCCTGGGCCGCCAAGGAGGCGGGGACGATGGGGGTGGCCCGGCCTGTGCGGATCCGTGGGTGCAGGCAGCCCGGCGGGGGGGGGGGGGGACCCCCGGCTTGCCAACGGGCCTCTGCTTCCTTCTCCCCACGACAGTCTGGCTCACCACGCAGAACCACAGCACCCTGGTGACGGAGCGCAGCGCGGTCCCCTTCCTGCCCGTGAACCCCGAGTACTCGGCCACCCGCAACCAGGTAGGGGGCCCACCGCGCCGCGGGCGGCTCCGGAAGTGGGGTGGGTGGCCGGGACACACGGCCTGGGCATTCCCATTCTCAATGAGGATGTTGTTAGCTGTCAATCAATCAATCAATCAATCAATCAATCAATCATTTATTTATTAAAAGCTTTTGTATGCCACCCTATTATATAAAAATCTCAGGACGGCTTACAATATTTAAAAGAACAATTAAAACACAAACAAGATTTGCTTATCAGTGTGCAGGAGAGGGTGTGTGCGTGTGTGTGTGTGTGTAACCTGTGGGGGAATGAAGTTTCTTTTGCGTGACCTCAGAGCAATTTTTTTACCCCCCCCCCCCCCGGCCATATTTTGGGGCTTGATCTGCTTGTCAGAAGTTGACTCTTGGCTCAGAAACGTTGAGCACGGCAGGCCAAAAAGACTTCATGGTGACCCCGGGCCCCTCCAAAGGAGCAGCTCTCCTGGCAAGCTCAGAGGCACTCTTGTCCTCTACACCCCTTCTGAAGGCCCAGTCTTCGTCTTCAGCAAGAGTTGTGTGGCTGGTTGAAGAGCAGCCCCCGTCTGGGTCCTGATTTCTTGCTCTCTCTCTCAGGGGCGGCAGAAGCTGGCACGATTCAACGCCCGGGAATTCGCCACTCTCATCATCGATATCCTCAGTGAGGCAAAGCGCCGGCAGCAGGGCAAAGGGCTCACCAGCCCCACAGGTAAGGAGGGGGAGACGAGGGTGAGCCCCTTCCATGGGGCTGACCCTGCGACCCTGGGCCGTGGCTGAGTGGGTTTCCCTGTTCTCCGCATGGCACGTCGTGAGCGGAGCCGGCTGGAGCCGGAGGTCAGACTAGATGGCCCAGGAAGGTCCTTCTGACTCGCTCTGTTTCTGTGTTCCCCTTCCGGTCAATTTTCCCTCCTGGCCGCAGAGGCCCTCGACGCCTCGCTGCACGGCCCGAGCGACCTGGACGACCAGCACGACTACGACAGCGTCGCCTCGGACGAGGACACCGACCAGGAGCCGCTGCGCAGCGCCGGCGCGGGGCGCAACAACCGGGCTCGGGTGAGTCCCGGGAAGGCCTGTGGGGCGCGGGGAGGAGTGGAGCTGGCGCCTGGCCTCCTCCGCGCGGGCCTGGAGCCGGGGTGGGGATCCCCTGGCAGCCCCAGGGCCACACGTGCTCCGGGGGCCGCCTTCCAGGGTGGGAGGGGCCAAAGGCCAAAGGGGTGGGGCCGAAAGCAAAAGCGGCGTGGCCGGGAGCTCTTTTCTGGCCCTGAGGCCTCCAAGGGGCACGTCAGTTCGAAAAACGTCCTTTGGCCTCCTTTGGAAAACGTCCTTTGGCCTCCCTGGCAAAACATGCAGGCAAACATTTCTGGCCGTTTGGTTCCTGAGCCGCTGGCTCTCTCTGGGGAGTGAGCCCCTAGGGAGGGCGGGGGGCACAGGATGGGGGGCCTGCGACGGCCTTCATGGACGCTCTCCCTCCCGCAAAGAGCATGGACTCCTCGGACCTCTCGGACGGGCCCATCACGCTGCAGGAGTACCTGGAGGTCAAGAAGGCGCTGGCCGCCTCCGAATCCAAAGTGCAGCAGCTGATGAAGATCAACAACAGCCTGAGCGAGGAGCTGAGGCGGCTGCAGAGAGAGGCAAGCGGCCGCGTGGGGTGGGGTGGGGTGGGGTGGGGTGGGGCCAGCGCAGCCGAGACCCCGCACGGCGCCCGGGTTCTGTCTGGAGGGGCTGTGCCGACCCAGGCAGCTGCCCCCCCCCGGGCTGGGTGCGCTCCGGGGGGCCAGGATGCAACGCCCGAGTCGCGGCAGTGTGGTAAGACCAGCCTTGGCAGGAAGGGCCGGCGGGCTGGCTGCTTTTCTCTCTTTCTGTGTGCTATTTATATTTTTATTTTATATTGTTAATTTGTTTTATATTTTTAATGTATTATATTTTAATTTATGTTGTGAGCCGCCCCGAGGCTTCGGCGAATGGGGCGGCATAGAAATGTTTTAATTAATATATATATATATATATATATATATATATGTATGTATGTAAGTAAGTAAGTAAGTAAGTAACATAGAAACAGAGCGAGTCAGAAGGGGTCTCCCGGGTCATCTAGTCTGACCCCCGGCTCCAGTCGGCTCCGCTCACAACACGCCCAGAAGAAAGTATTGTTTAAAATTGAAGATAAGATCGCAGTCCTCATGATTCCGAATAAAGGGCAGGGGCTACCTTATCCTGAGTCTGAACCGCTCATGGCCTTAATGCCGGGAAGCCGGTGATTTTCCGGGGTTTCGGATGGGTTCCCAGCCCGCCTGCAGGGGGTGGGGGTCAGACCAGGGCCTCCCGGAAGGGAAGCCCAAGCTCTGCCTCCAGACCACACAACGCAGGCACCCCCGTCGGGACCCCGCATACCAGCCCAGGATGATGGGGCCCCGTCTCCCTCTCGCTTCAGATCCACAAGCTTCAGTCGGAGAACCTGCAGATCCGCCAGCAGGCCGGGCCCGCCCACCCGGTGGCTGTGCCCCCGAGCGAGCGCCCCGAGCACGGCCACGTTGCCACCGCGGTGGGGGGGCCCCATCGGCGCGACCGCCACGCCTTCTCCATGTACGAGCCGGGCGCCAGCGGGCTCAAGCCCTTCGGCCAGCCGCCAGGGGACGACCTGGCCAGCCGCCTGCAGCCGTTCCACCCCGGGGTGAGGGCCGCGCAGGGTCGGGCTCCGGTCCTGCAGGGCGTGCGGGACGAGGCTGTGGGGGCGCGTGAGCGGGGGGGCCGTGCGCCTGGCGGCCCCCTGAGCCCTCCTCCATGTGCTTTGCAGGAGGCGGACGACGAGACCCTCTACTCCATGCACAATCAAGCCAGCATCTACCGGGTGAGCAGAGGCTGCGGGTGCCGGCAAGCTGCCCATTATGATCCTCCCCTCCCTGGTGTGCCTCACCCCCACTGCAGGTCTCGCCCCCCCGTGTCTCTAACCCCCCTTCCCCTGCCCCCTCCCTGGCGTTTCAGATCCGGAAGGGCGGCTCCATCTCGTCGATGCCTTTCCCGCCGTCTTCTCCACTCGTCTCGTGCCCACCCGAGAGCGGACGCCACATGGTGAATCTCGGCCTTTCGGGGGGCTGGGGGGCGCCGCCCGGGGGCTGCGGGGTCACAGCCACGAGGACTCGGCTCATGGCTCGTGGCCGCTCTGGGGCGCCCGCAGAGATGGTTTGGGGGCTGCCGGTAGCCCTCCAGGCCCTCATCCATGGAGCGGGGACGGGGGGCTGGCGGTGGAGGCGTCCCCCCCATCTCGGCAGCACCGTTACAGCTCGTGAACCTTCAGGGAAGGAACCTAAGGGGGGGCCCGCAGTCTCTCCCCCCAGGCCTCTCTTCTGGGGTCTCCGTTGGGGGCCCGGCTGGGGGGTGCCTCCCATCCTGGCTTGGGGAGGGGAACCTTGCCCTGCGGGTGTCTGGAAGGTGCGGCGGTTGGACAGCGCAGCCCCCCACTTTGCCCAGGGGGGGTCCAACGTGCCTCCTCTTCCTCCCGTCCCGTCCCCTGACTTCGCCCTGGTTTCCCCCCTCCGTGTAGACCGGAAAACTGGACCGGCACGGCAGCGGCACAGACAGCGACTACGACAACACGCAGGGAGGGGACCTGCCGCTCGGGTACGGGGGGGCACTCTCGGCAGGACCATGGGGGGGGTCCCCCGCTGAGGGAAATTTGGCCGCAGCACCTGCCAGATTCTGCGACCGGCTTACGTGCCACAGCTTTCTGGATTCCATCTTGAGGCTGTTGCGAGAGGACGAACCTCCGCCGAAGCCGCTCGCACGGGGTGTTTGCCTTCCTGCTTTTTTGACCCTGCCCGTCACCATGAGGACTGGGAACTTGCTTTGCTGTTTTTAAACGAAAAGCTGCGAGTCGAGCCAAAAGACGGAATGCTGGGCAGCAGGCCGGCCGCCTCTAGCCGCATGCCTGCTTGGGGCGTTGGCCACAGAGGCTGGGGATGATGGGGGGACACCTGGTTGGGGAGGGCCAGGGTGAAGCCGAGTGGCCTCGAGATTCAGGCGCCCGCTCTGCCCCACAGCATGGACGGGAAGCGGTTCCTGGACCTCAGCAAGGACGAAGACCTGCACCCGGAGCCTGAACCACTGGAAGGGGACGCGGACCCCGGGCTGCCCAGCACGGAGGACGTCATCCTCAAGACGGAGCAGGTCACCAAGAACATCCAGGAGCTCCTCCGGGCCGCCCAGGAGTTCAAGCACGACAGGTCAGGATGGATCCCTCCCAGCAGCCCCCCCCTGCCCCCCCCTTCCGGGGCCCCGCCCGCAATTCGGGTGTCCCCCCCCCCCCGGGGGGTGCCAGGGAGAGACTCGCCATTGGCAATCGCCAGGATGAACGCCCCCCTGTATGAGTTTCTGTCCCGAACTGGCCCCCTCCAGAGCGGAGACTCACACAGAGACACCACGGGCTTCCCTAGGCCCTCCCCTGGCAGCGGGGGTCAGCTCAGCCCCTGTGTCCAAGCAGCCTTCCCCCACGTGGGACTGCACCTCGTGGCTGGGGTGGATGGGAATTGCACTCCGCACGCTGGCGAGGGCCTGGCGTGGAGCATCCCCCCCCCCTTCGGGGTTCTGGGATGGCTGGGGCGGGATTCCTTGGGGAAGGGGCCCTGCGCCCGGGCCTCACTCTGCCTCTCGTACCCCAGCAGCTTTGTCCCGTGTTCGGAGAAGATCCACGCCGCCGTCACGGAAATGGCGTCGCTCTTCCCCAAGGTGGGCAAGGCTCCGGCCGGGGGGCCTCTGAGCAACCGCCAGCCCCCGTTTCTGCCGCGCCCGCGAACAGGTGGCTGGGGGGGGGAAGGGGGGGCCGTCGCCCGAGGCTGGCTAGCGTGGGGCCCCGTGGCAGCCGGGAGCCATTCCTGAATGCGGCTGCGCGCCGCCTCGGATGTGGGAGATCGTGGAAAGGCCCCCTCGGGTCTCCCCTCCTCCCCCGGCCCGGGGGGCGAGCGTTGGTCCGGCCAGGCGCCCCGGGGGCCCAGCGGGGACGGGGGGCTGGCGGTGGAGGCGTCCCCCCCATCTCGGCAGCACCATTACGGCTCCTGAGCCTCCAGGGAAGGGATCTCCCGGGGTCTCCGCTGGGGGCCCGGCTGGGGGTGTCTCCCCTTCCGGCTTCCAAATGAGCCCAGGGCCGCGGAGCCCGGCGTCCGGTCCGGGCACGGGTCCGGGGGACGCGCTCCCCCCGCCCCGGCGGGGGCCCTGACGCCCCTCTCTCCCCCCCACAGAAGCCGGCCTCCGAGACGGTGCGCAGCTCGCTGCGGCTGCTCAACGCCAGCGCCTGCCGCCTGCAGAGCGAGTGCCGCAAGACAGTGGCCCCCGAGCCGGGCCCCCCCGTGGACTTCCAGCTCCTGACGCAGCAGGTGATCCAGTGCGCCTACGACATCGCCAAGGCCGCCAAGCAGCTGGTCACCATCACCACCCGCGAGAAGAAGCAGTGAGGCCCCCCTGCCCCCCCCCCACCGCCGGGGGGGG